AAAGAAAAAACTTTTTTTTTTTTTTTTAATTTTTGGTCTTTTTTTGGTAATTTAGCAAAAAATAAAAACTCCAGCGGTGATTAAATACCACCAAAAGAAAGCTCTAGTTGTGTGAAGAAAATGATAAAATTTTAGTTTGGGTACAATGTATGACCACACAATTGTCATTCAAAGTGTGAAAGCACTGAAACCTGAAAACTGGCCTGGGCATGAAGGTGTAAAATTGCCTGGTATTGAATTGGTTAAGAGAAGCATTTTGTCCTTTCAATTAGAGCTACCATCTGGCTATATTCATGAAGATACAGGCTCAGGCAGGAGCCAAGCCACAGTGTAGCAGTAGAGGTTACCTAGAGAAACAAGTGAGACTACACTGCCCATGGTGGACAGAGACATACTACAGATTCATCTATGCATTGTTATAAGAATTTTCCTATTTCTACTACAGAGAAAGAGTAGTCATATTCTTAGGATTTCTTGTAGCCAGACTGTAAGACATTGCCACATACAATATTATATTTTGAAACAAATTCATGAAGTAGATTTATCTGGTTTATACTAGAGCATTAGATTGAGGGGACTTGTGTATGAGATTTGTCTGAGTTTGCACTGAAGTCCTGGTTATTAGGCAGTTCATTATACAGGAAATATGGAGGTGAGAGTCAAAATACACTAATTAAAGTGGCTCTAAAGACAAAACGTTCTTATATTTTCATGCATTCTATGCATGAAGGCAAAAAACCTTCTGATTGCAGTTTCCCCCCCAGTCCCCATTAATCTTACCTGAACCCCATCTCGATCCAGCAATGTGCATGAGAGCAGCAACACTCCAGGTCTCTCACTCCTCTCACACACCAGCAGAAGCCATTGGCTCCCACTGCTGTCAATCACAACCAGTGCGCCAATGAGGAGAGAGGAGAGGAAGTGGCTAATGTCCATTCACAGGAGCACGGCTTGGGAGTGAGTCTGGTCAAGTGCCCCCCAGTGCCACCATAGAAAGATGCTTGCTATTGGTGGCACTCAGCAGGGGGATGGAGCCAGGATCGCCAAGAGGGGACCCAAAAAGAAGAGGTTTGGGGCTGCTCTGTGCAAAACCATTGAACAGAGCAGGTAAGTATAATGTTTGCATTATTTTGGGGGGGTTGTTTTTTTTTTTTTTTTTTAATTACAACCTTTGCAACCACTTTAATGTTTAGCAGCACACAGCATAGATTCAGCTATGTTCAGAGATAAAGTTTCCTGCTTTTGCGACAGAGATGCTACACTCTTGCTCTTCCTTGCATCTAGACAGTGAGATATGCTACTTGTCACAATCTCTAAAATGATACATGGTCTTTCGTTTCAGTTGTAATGATTTTGTTAGCATAGGTTTGAGAGCACTGGTATATGTGAGCCATTGCAGTGTGTTTTCTTTCAGTGTGCACTGCAATCAGCTTTATCCTCAATATTGCCTAGTGCATTCATGTATGTATATATGTGGATGTGTAGATATATATGTATGGAGATGTGTATGTATTTGTACTATTAAGAGCAGTCGTTTTTGGATTACATCTTGGAGCTGCATTGTTGAAAAAGCAGTGTGATTATATATCTGCACTCTGTTATTGCAGTGGTTAGAGGGAGAGTGCTCATGGGATAATCTTCCTACGAGAAGTAAAGGGACTACAGAGGCTAGATTGGATTGTGAAGAGGTTTATTGAATTGCTACTACTTTGGATGTTTGGGAAGTGCTGGTATTTCTTTTGATACTCTAGGTACCACTGGTTTGACAAAAAGCAAGCGTGTTGCCAGTATTTTCAAAAAAATTGCCCAGATGTATACCTAGAAGACTACAGACCAATTAGCCTAATCTATAGTATAAAACTATTGCAAGAAATAATAAGGAACCATATCCATGATTTTGCTGATGCAAAAATTGTTAGTAGTAACCAGCATGGATTTATGAAAGATGGTTCTTTCCATACCAATCTTAACTTCTATCAGGAGGTAAACTATAATTTGGATAAAGGAAGGTCTGTGGATGTAGTGTATCTGGATTTCACTAGGGCATTTGATACAGTACCTCATAAATGTTTAATTTACAATTTAAAGTATTTTGACATCAACAGAGTAGTGATGAATATATTTTCTGAATGGTCTAGAGTTGTGGGTGGGGTAGATGAGGGCTCTGTCCTAGAACCAATTCTTGTTAACTTGTTCACAAATGATAAAAAAGTTGGAACAAATAGTTCAATCTTAGTTCTTGCTGATGATAGAAGCAGGGCAATAACTGCTCAGACTATAACAACTTTAAAAGCAGATCTAGTTAAATTAGAGGGATGGGAAGCTATATGGCAGATGAGGTTTAATATTTAAAAAAATGTAAATTAGTGCACTTGGGAGTTAAAAATGTGCATTCAAAGTTACTTGCTTGGTGAAGAACCTTTGGGGGAATCCATTACTGAAAAGAATTTTGGGGTCCTAGTAGATTACAGACAACAATAGCTGTCAGCACCTGTGGTAGTGAGCCCTTGTAGATAGTCAACTTGGGGTTCCCCAGGGTGCGGCGTCTAAGCCCCAGCCTGCTTCTTCACCAGAGCCCCTGATGATGGGGATGAACTTGAGCAAGCTGGGACCAGGGCGCAGCCCCTGGGTACACCCAGCTGAGGATGAGGAGACCGCTTGCGGGAGCAGAGTACAATGGGAGGAGACAAACGGAAATCCGATAGACTAGCCGAGGTCAGGACGTGCGGAAAACAAGCAGTCAGAAAATGAAGCCAGGGTCTGTACACAAGTATTCAATACAGGAGATAGCAACACACAGGAGCTCAGACAACTAGGAAGCTGCTCAGGCAAAGTGGCCTAGACTGAGCATGTTTTATATAGGCAGGCTAACAAGGAGGCAGGCCAGGAAGTGATGGAAGGGAAGGAAATAAAAACCCAGAGAACAGCAGACTATGCCCATAGGTGAGCACAGACTAACACATGTGAAAGGGATCAGAAACAGCACTGCAGCAAGGAGGTAAGAACACAAACAAGAAACTACAGGCTAACTTGTGACAATATCATGCAATACAAAGCTGCAGCAAGGCAAGCTAGCAGACTATTATCATGCATTAATAGAATAATTACCTAAGAGATAAAACTATAAATCTACCACTTCAAAAAAAATTCTGGTTCAGCCAGTTTAGGAAGGATGTCCTTGAACTGGAAAGATTTCTAGATGTGTTTCTTAGCAAACACATTGTGCAGGGATATAGAAACTGGTATCAACATAAATCTACACACAGGATGGACCTGTGTCTTTATTCAGTCTGGCCAGCTATATAAGGTATTACATAATTATTACAACTAGTTATGACAACTACATTACATATACAGTGCATCCAGAAAGTATTCACAGCGCTTAACTTTTGCCACATTTTGTTATGTTACAGCCTTATTCCAAAATGGATTAAATTCATTTTTTCCCTCAACATTCTACAAACAATATCCCATAATGACAACGTGAAAGTTAGTTTTGAAATCTTTGCAAATTATTAAAAAAAAAAAAAAAAAAAAAAAAAAAAAAAAAAAAAAAAAACACATGTACATAAGTATTCACAACCTTTTGCCATGACACTCACAATTGAGCTCTGGTGCATCCTGTTCCCTCTGATCATCTTTGAGATGTTTCCACAACTTGATTGGAGTCCACCTCTGGGAAATTCAGTTGACTGGACATGATTAGGAAAGGCATAAACCTGTCTATATAAGGTCCCACAGTTAACAGTGCATGTCAGAGCACAAACCAAGCCATGAAGTCCACGGAATTGTCTGTAGACCTCCAAGAAAGGATTGTATCAAGGCACAGATCTGGGGAAGGGTACAGAAAGAGTTTTGCAGCATTGAAGGTTTCAATGAGCACAGTGGCCTCCATCATCCGTAAATGGAAGAAGTTTGTAACCACCAGAAATCTTCCTAGAGTGGGCCGGCCAAAATGAGCGATCGAGGGAGAAGGGCCTTAGCCAGGGAGGTAACCAAGCACCCAATGGTCACTCTGAAAAAGCTCCAGCATTTCTCAGTGGAGAGAGGGGAACCTTCCAGAACAACAACAGTCTCTGCAGCACTCCACCAATCAGACCTGTAAAGACACTCCTCCGTAAAAGGCAAAATGACAGCCCGCCTGGAGTTTGCCAAAAAGGCACCTGAGGGACTTTCAGACCATGAGAAACAAAACTCTCTGGTCTTATGAAACAAATATTGAACTCTTTGGCCTGAATGCCAAGAATCATGTCTGGAGGAAACCAGGCACTGCTCCCCACCTGGCCAATACCATCCCTACAGTGAAGCATGCTGGTGGCATCTTCATGCTGTGGGGATGTTTTTCAGTGGCAGGAACTGGGAGACTAGTCAGGATCAAAGAAAGATGAATGCAGCAATGTACAGAGATATCCTTGATGAAAACCTGTTCCAGAGAGCTCTAGACCTTAGGCTGGGGCGATGATTCATCTTTCAACAGGACAACGGCCCTAAGCACACAGCACACATAACGAAGGAGTGGCTACGGCCAACTCTGAATGTCCTGGAGTGGCCCAGCTAGAGCCCAGACTTGAACCCGGTTCAACATCTCTGGTGAGATCTGAAAGTGGCTCTGCACCGACGCTCCCCATCCAACTTGATGAAGCTTGAGAAGTACTGTAAGAAGAATGGGAGAAAGTTCCCAAAAATAGGTGTGCCAAGCTTGTAGAATCATACGCAAAACAATTTGAGGCTGTAATTGGTGCTAAAAGGTGCTTCAACAAAGTATTGATCAAACTTATGTACATTTTTTTTTTGTTTTTTTTTTTTTATTCTAAATAAATTACAAAGATTTCAAAACTAACTTCTTTCATGTTGTCATTATGGGGTATAGTTTGTAGAATGTTGAGGGAAAAAAAAAAGTATTATTAACCACTTTCCCGCCGCCCTATAGCAGATATATAGGGTCACCTGCTATAGGGTGACGGGTGCGCAAAATCATGTATATATACACATGATTTTGTGTTGTTAGTCACCAGGTCCCAGCCAGTGGTTACCCACCAATGCCCGATGATTACCGAGCATCTCTGATGGGGAGGAGGACTGTTTTGTTTACTAACAGTTCTCCCTGTCAGCTCGGGCACACTGCTCTGGATGGCTGTGCACAGCACAGCCATCCAGAGCAGTGTAATTACAGTGAAGCACACACACCTCCCCCTAGTAAAACACTCCCTGCACACAGTTAACCCTTTGATCGCCCCTCATGTTAACCCCTTCCTGCCCAGTGCCATTAGTACAGTGTCAGTGCTTTTTTTTTTTTTTTTTAGCAATGATCACTGTATTGGTGTCACTGTGTATGTCAGTGACACCAAGTCAGTTGCCCCTGAGTGTCAGAATGTCCGCCGCAGTCCCGCTATAAGTTGCTGATTGGCGCCATTACTGTTAAGAAAAAAAAAATTCCAGTATCTACTGTATTTTTCGCCGTATAAGACGCACTTTTTCTTCCCCAAAACTGGGGGGGGAAATGTCAGTGCGTCTTATGGAGCGAATATGGAGCAGCCGGTCCGGTATTTCCACTGCGGCCGTGTCAGAATACCGGGCCGGCCGCTCAGCTCTGCAGCGGGACCTTACCTGTTCCTCTATCCAGCGGCGTGCTGTCTTCCCGGCTTCTGTAGTGTGGGCACTGGGCATGACAGCCGGGTGCCAAGTGCGCATGCGCAAGAAGCGGTGCTTTTTGTGAATGGTAAGGCGGTACCTGGGACACATGACAGATCCCAGAAGCCGCCGGACCAATCACAAAGCGCAAGTGCTTCTCGCTCATGCGCACTGGGCACCCGGCTGTCATGCCGAGCGCCATTACAAAAGCCGGGAAGATCAAACAAAAACTCTGCGGAAGTAAGAGCGGGTACCTGTCAAATTCAGGTACCCGCTCCCCACCTCCCCAAAGGTCAGCAGTCATCTGTGCTGTCCGCAGTCTCTGGTCATCCCTGTGCTGTCCGCAGTCTCTGGTCATCCCTGTGCTGTCCGCAGTCTCTGGTCATCCCTGTGCTGTCCGCAGTCTCTGGTCATCTCCTGTACTGTGTCTGCAGTCCATTAGTTCAGAATTTTTTTTCCCCTGTTTTCTGCCTCTAAAACCTAGGTGCGTCTTATGGTCAGGTGCGTCTTATACGGCGAAAAATACGGTATACTGCCATTTGTAAACACTATAACTTTGACGTAAACCAATTGATGTACATGTATTGGTAGTTTTTTTAGCAAACACATTTAGCAGAATACATTTTTTCCTAAATTTATGATGAAATTAGATTTTAAATTTTTTTACTGAACATGTTTAATAGCAAAAAGTAAAAAATATAGTTTTTTTTTCTCAAAATTGTTGGTCTTTTTTTCATTGCACAAAAAATAAAACCCACACAGGTGATCAAATACCACCAAAAGAAAGCTAAATTTGTGGGGGGAAAAAAAAAAGGATGTACAATTAATTTGGGTGCAGCGTTGCATGACCGCGCAATCAGTTAAAGTAACGTAGCGCTGTAACGCAAAAAATGGCCTGCTCTGGAAGGGGGGTAAATCCTTAGGAGGGCAAGAGGTTAATATTTAATGTGACAGCTTCCTGCTTGGAACCATACATCTGGCCCCCCATCGGTTGTTAAGATGCTGATGGCTGCCTGCGTCCTAGCACAAATTACTTGTATTTGTGCTATAAATGAATAGTTAGCATGACTGTCTACTATCATTAAATTAGAAATAAACCTTTTTTGGATTTTTATGACAAATATTCATTCTTGGGGCTTTACTTTACTCTATGATGCAATGCTTTAGATTATTTTCTAGATTTTCTAGAAGTCTTTCCTTTTGACCCACCTTACCCTTACTTATAAAATATTTGTTGAGGGAAAAAAACACACAGAAGTGGTCAGCTGTTGCATTAAACAATGATGGTATATATCTCGTCAAGTTGATTATCCAAAGAGAAATTAAGGTACGATATTATATCTGCCATCAAAGCTATGTTGACGGAATAACTTAATATTTAGGAAAAGTCTATGTACACGTCAACAGATGGTTTCACTATATATAGTTAACATAAAGATAATTTAAGGCTTAGTAGACTCTTAAAGCATGTTTGTCAAGCATAACCTCTATTAAATGTCTAAGTACTGGGTAACGTCTGGCACATTAAAAACAAATAGTATAGAAAAGTCCTATTGATATATTATGCATATGCTGTGTAGTAAATATATGACCCCCCCCCCCCCCCATGTTTACTAAACTGTAATTATTTTCCTGCTGAGAGAAATAATTCTTTATTCTAGCGTTTCCACTCATTCCGGTTATGGAATAACATATGGATTCATTCTATTAGTGCAAAAACAAGAACCCTTAATGGTTAATCTCTATAAACACGCTGCAGCACAACACATACACACCATGTTCATAAAACATTGAAGATTGGTTACAGTAGAATAGACCAAGGCTGTTGTAAAAGAAGGTAGAATAATTTGCAATAATTGATATAATATAAAAAACACTTATTTAAATATTTAATTTTTCAGATAAACAAGTTATACAAACACTCATTAAAATCTTAGCTTATTATCAAAACATTTATCGTTTCATCCCTCCCCCTACCTATTTACCACCCATCCCCCCATCCAATCCCTGACCCCTTCTGCTCTGCATTTTCCTGTTCATTTCTGGAGAAAGTAATCCCTATAAAAGAAGAACAAAATATGTTTCCATGTTATTCTATGTTAATCCCCCATAACCTCTAAGGCTAGCCTTGACTTTAATTCCTCCCATTTGTTCTATCTTGTATGGGGAATCTCCATCTTATCTTCATTCAAATGATAAAGTTCCTCCAATTTACATATTTGATCCACCCAGTCTTATTTTCGGCACCTTCTGTCTCCTCCAATACTTGGGTATCAGTCCCTTTGCTGCATTCAAATAGTACAATAAAACCAGATTCTTTGTATTTTTTTTAGCTGAAAGTTTAGTACTAAGAAAAAGGCAAATCTCTGGATCTATTAGAATATCAACCTCTGTAATTTTCTGAATCAAGCTTACTATTTTGCCCCAATACTGTTTTTAGAAAACTCCCCACCATATGGATACATTGTGCCTCTACCGCCAGTTCCACACCAACATAAAGGTGAATTATCTCCACTCAATCTATTTGGCAAGATGGTATATCACACAGTGTGGCAAACACTTATAATTCATTTCTACCTCCTGCATATTTATATTTACGTGGATTATTCTATACATTTTCCTGTTTTTCTGCATCTATTGTAGCTCCTATTTCTCTTTCCCATTTTTCTATATATGGAGGACTTATATCTGTGTTTATTTCAGTGAGAATCATATTTTAGAGGTTCTGTGTTTCCCATCTCCCCATGTACCTAACAAGTGCTCAAAAGAATTCCAATCCTCTTATTCTTAAAAGGCTTTCCTATAAAGTGTTTCATTTGAAAATAACGCCACTCATCCATTCTCGTAAAAACCTTTTTTTTTTTTCAATTCCTTAAGTGATCCCCCCTCCCTCCCCATCTTATTCCTCTTTACTATTCCTACTCTCTATTTCTCCTTCGAGCTACTTGCCTACCCTCATTTTTCATAGCCCACATTTCTCCTTCTTCCTCCCAACCAGGGATATTTATTTTCTGTATATCAAGTCTCACAAAAGTCTCTCAGATCTTCGGGGAATCTGTCTTGAACGTCCATTTTTCCAGCCAAACACGCTGGAAACCCCCAGCTATATCGAACAATCTGTTTTTTCTCATCTGTTAAAGTAACGGATTCAAAGTTCTCCTTATTAATGTTTCCGCTGCTAAATCAAAGATCTGTATATATTTATTTCTCCATATTTTTTTATTGCTCTCTTTTATCTTCTTCCAAAGCTCTTCTTTATCCCAAAAATTATGGAATTGCACTATTACATCTCTTGGCTTTTCCTTTCTATCTTCTTGTATGTATTTTCCTATTCTAGATACTCCCTCCATTTTGAGAGGTTCTGTTATAGTTCTATCCATTATAGTATTCAGCATTCTCGTTATTATTCAAATCAAATCTTCTCCTTGGGAGATCTCTGCAAAGCCTCATATCCTTAGATTGCATCTCCTATCCCTATTCTCCTGGTCTTTCAATTTTTATAACCGATTTTCTTTGTTTCTTTTCTCATTTCCATTGCCAGTTTTTCTAATTTCTGTATAATTTGGCATGTTTATCTAGTTTTTCTTCAGTCTCCCTCCACCCTTGATAATATTTGCCTCAGATCTTTGTGTAGCTTTGCCAGTTCCTGTTTTTAGGGATCTTTCAAGTCCTTTAAACATTTCTGCTATTTCTGCTTTAGTAGGTATCTGTGAGCTCTCCTCTTGTTCTTCTGCTTTATCCATATCCACTTCTTCCATATGTTGACTACTGTTAGCTATTCCCAGGGATAGTCTTGAACATTCCCCGCTGTTTTCCCTCTCACCTCTTACACTTATTCCCTGTTGTCTCTCTGGAGAGTCTCTCTCCTGTGAGGGTATATATTTTTTTGATTGACCCTGTTTGGGAAGCCTTAGGCTCTCCTCCCTTTGATACTTTGTTTTTCATGCTGTCAGGGACTATTTCAATTTTCCGCAGTTCTGGTTTTGGGGGTGGGTGGGTCTATTTTTGATATCAAAATTTTGTCTTCCCTCAGTTCTTTTCTTCCTTTTTCTCTCCCCCCACTCCCAAACTGATCTACCCCACGTCCCTCATCTTCTAGGTCTTTATCTGTTTTACATTGTCCTCCTTCTGATTTTCCTCAAAGACCCCCTCCTCAGTTTAAACATATAGCTCAATACATACAGTTCAGTTCCCATGCAATATATTAATCTCAGTACTTTTTGCTGCTCTCACTCACCCCCTCTTATCCCCAATACGGCTTTTGCCCCGTATGAGATCTCTGTCATATATGAAGAAAATGGCTTCTCTGAAAAACATTTCACACACACCAAAACAGGTATACAACGTCTCCTCCGTGTACAGATCTCTGATGTGTGTAAAGACTAGGCTTCACTGAAAAGTATTTCCTGCACTCAGGACAGACATATGGCTTTTCACCTGTGTAGATCTCTGATATATGTAAAGTCTAGTTTTGTCTGAGAAAACATTTCCCGCACTTAGAACAGGGGTATAGCATCTTCCTCATGTGAGGTCTCTGATATATATGCAGGCTGGACTTCTATGAAAAACATTTCCCACACTCTGAACAAGAGTATGGCTGCTCCCTCTTGTATTATCACTGGTATATACAGTCATGGCCGAAATTGTTGGCTTTGATATTTTTCCTGAAAATCAAGTATTTCACACAAAAAAGGTATTGCATTAACACATGTTTTGCTATACACATGTTTATTCCCCTTTGTATGTATTGGAACAAATATAAAAACAGA